AATAATAGTCATATTAACTGGTCTTCCTTGTAGGCACTGTACTTCACGGTAGATCTTGAAATGTTCCTTTTGACAATGAATGTGATGCCATTCCTCTTCAATTTATCATTCCTGGCATAGTAGACTATATGATTGTCTGCTTCACAAAGGCTGATACCAGTCAATTTCAGCTCACTAATGCCTAGAATATCGAACTTTATGTGTTCCATTTCATTTTTGATGACCCCAATTTTCCTTGATTCATACCTCATACATTCCACTTTCTGATTACTAATGGATGTTTGCAGCTATTTCTTCTCATTTTAAGTCGTGCCACATCAACAAATGAAGTTCCTGAAAGCTTCACTTCATCCACATCATTAAGGTCAACTCTGCTTTGAGGAGGCAGCTCTTCCCCAATCGTGTTTTGAATGTCATACAACCTGAGAGTCTCATCTTCTGGTGCTATATCAGACAGTGTTCCACTGCTATTCATAAGGTTTTCATTGACCAATTTTTTCAGAAGTTGATCACCAGGTCCTTCTTCCTTCTTCCTAGTCTGTCTTAGTCTCAAAGCTCCACTGAAATCTGTCCACCATGGGTGACCTTGCTGGCATTTGAAATACTGGTGGCGTATCTTCGATCAACACAAGCCAAGGCACTACAGTACGACAAACTGACAAACGAGTGGAGAAAATGTAGGAGAATTTCTGTGTGACCTTTGAAAGGGGAATGAGCTTTTAACGTAAGATCTCAAATCACAAACATAAAATTAAAGCTGTCTTTTGAGTGAAAACACTGTCAATAGGTGATGACAGATTAATAGAATATGTTTTTAATGTCTGACACCAACAAGAAGGGCAGTGGTGGTTCAGTCATAGAGTTCTCACCTTCCGTTTAGGAGACCCAGGTTTGATCCCTGGCCAGTGCACCTTAAGCACAGCCACCACTTGTCAGTGGAGGCTTGTGTGTTCCTATAATGCTGAACAGGTTTCAGCAGAGCTTTAAGGCTAAGGCAGTCTAGGAAGAAAAGCCTGGTGATCTACTTCTGAAAATCACCCAGTGAAAACCCTATGGATCACAACGGTCCAATCCCCTTGGGCATGGAGTCACCATGAGTTGGGTGCTGACTCAAGGGCAAGCAATAACAAACACCAGCAAGGGATTATTGTAAGAAACTCCTGCAACTCCATATGAGAAAAACAAACAAACCGGAAATCCAGTTGAGAAATTCGTAAATAATATGAATAAGTAACTCCCAGAAGAGTAAACCCTAGTTGCCAACAAACATATGAAGAAATGTCCAACCTCATTAATAATTGGAGATAATAAACATTAGAATAATTTTTTATATTATTATCACTTTATACTCACTGAATCAACAAAAATTAAGTAAGGTAACATCAAGGATATAGAAAAACAGGCTGTTCCACAAACATGGCTGGTGGAAGTATAAGCAGGTACAGCCATTCTGGAGAGCAACCCAGCTGTCTGGAGTAGGTATATACCATGGGACCCACAATCGCCTTTCTTCAGAAAAACTTCTGTATAGATCCATAAGACAATAGGTATGAAGACGTTTGTTGCAACATTTTATAGCAGGGAGTTGGAAATGGGGGAAGGATACATAAAATGTGGCAGATGTATAGCACAGTATTACTTAATTAGAAACACACACTCAAACTAATTTATAAGAATATGTCCATATCCAAAACCCAAAACCAAACCAGTTGCTATCAAGTTGACTCCGACTCCTGGTCACCCCATGTATGTCAGAGTAGGACTGCTCCATAGCGTTTTCAGTGGCTGATTTTTCGGAAGTAGATCATCAGGCCTTCCTTCCAACGTGCTTCTGGGTGGACTCGAACACCCAACCTTTTGGTTAGCGGTCAAGCACGTAAATGTATGGACCTTTTATACAGTGTATTAAACTGGGTGTCAAATGTCAGGAGGAAGGATAGGGAGTGGATCATCAGGGATGAATAGAAAAAAACTGTAAGGCAAAATAAAGCAAGACTAGGGCTTCTAGCAAGCTATGATGATAGTATTTATGAACTGAGTATTAACTTTGTGCACCTGATGTTCCTCCCAAAATATAAAATAATACTTACTTCATTTTTTAAAATGAAAGAGTACATCTACAATTATCTCAAAAAATTTTTAAAAAGGAAAGAAAACATATAAAAATATTAAAAAGAAGAGTTCGTGTGGGATAGAGACTCCTTTGCTTGTCATTTATTAGTGGTAAAATTTTAATTACCCACAGTTAATTTTTAAGCTTTCACTAAGAGTAGTAGTTCTACTTTGCTCTCACATCTTCTGCTAAAAATATTTTACGTTCCCCATTAAGTAGCTTGAAGTCTGCAGCACAGAAGAAATTGAGATGGAAAATAACCCCGCTTTCTAATCTACCTCTTTGAATTTTGAGGTGTAGTCAATTGTCAGTTTATCCCAAATTACCACATCATCTAAAACTTAATTCTGGTTTAATACCCTTTTTCCCAGATATAAAAAAAAAAAAAAAGTTTCCTTCTCCAATTACCCTTTTGGGAAGTAAGTATTAGAAATCAAGTATTAACCAGGAGGCAGAGAACAGGAATCTTTGAAGGATCAGAAGCCAAGGAAAGTAGATCCTAGGATTGAATTCTTCTATCTTTCTGTTACTATCTATTCATCTTTCCACCACCAAAAACAAGCAAAACCAAAATCCTGCTGTGTACTGCTTGAAGATTGATGCTATCAAAATCATGGTCTTTGGACCACTGAATCTTTCATTGTAAACCGCACCCCCTCTCCTCCCACAATTCAGCCGTCACCTACCACTTGGATGATTGGTCGCCTAAGAGTAATGCTCTGCCAAAACATTCTGGATTTTGTGGGGTTTTTTCCCTACTCTTGCATACCCAGAATTGTGACTTCTGAGTAGATCTCTGAAATAAAGTGTATAATAAATATGTTTTTTAAGCAATTCCTTGGGTATTTTGAAGAATTACTGTTAAACTAATCACAGCCACAGTTGTTTATTGCTGCTGTTTCAGATACATTTTGTCACACTTAAGATGAAGAAGAAAAGAATGAAGTTACTTACCTTGAGCAGTTAATTTTTTTTATTTAAAACAAAGCCTCTAAAACCAATCAGTGAACTAACTTTACATCTTTGCATTAATGTATTTTGAACAATTGAAAAAGTCAGCACTAGAAAATCTACTTTTAATAGTAAATTTCTCAAAGAGCCAAGATTAAGAGTAAAATAAGTATACAGGAGAAAGGTTGAGCAAAATTTTACGCGATGATAACAAGTTAGATACTTGTGTGTTTGTCACAGACATGGAGGCCCTAGTCTTGACCTGTGTCCTTTGTAGTCCTTGGTTCTTTTTAGGGGTATATTTTTTGATTACCAAACTTTGAGAGGTTGCAGAATCAGACATCTGGACTGGAATTTCAACTCTGCCATTAATTGTATATCCTTGAGTAACTTACTTAATTTTCCTGAGTTTCATATATATAACAGAATAATATCTATCTTTCCAGAGTTGTTGTTTCCATTACATGAGATGATGTATGTATATAAAATACTGGCATAATGCCTGCACCTTATTTGGTGCTCAGTAAGCATGGAGTTAGTATAAAGATAGCCTGTGTTCTGCTTCGCTTGGAGTCAAATCCCAGTGCTGCCTTGAAACTGACCAAGGATCCTGAGGAACTTATAGAACAGAATGATTTGAGGTTGACTCAGGGCTCATGACTGCTCTAAATCTGAGCGTCTCACCCCATTCCAGGACTAATACTCCTCTTGATTTTTATTTTTTTGTAACTTCTTTTGTGGTGTGAAGATCACCTATGCCAGTTGAGAAAGGCAGAATTTATTTTTAACTTGAATTTTGAAACTTTCAATACTCCCTTTAGTTTTTTGTTAATATGATAAATCATTAATATAAGTTAGTCTTACCTGCAATAATTACTCCTTTGTAACTTTTTAATCAGTGTATTCACATTTTATCAGAAGATAGAATAAAATTCTTACTAATTTAAATTAGTCACACATATAAAAGAAATAATTAACAGAATTATTTGTTTGCATAAATAAGTAAATATTTATCAAGTGCTTACTGTATACCAGGCACTGTCTGAAAGACTTCATTTGTACTAATACTCATTTAACCACCCTGTGAAGTAGATACTATTATTGATCCTATTTTATAGATGAGAGGAGTGAGACACAAAGAAGTTAAGTACTTTGCCCAAGTTCACACAGCAGAATGGAGGAATGGATATTTATTATAATTCATTTAGTATTAAACTTGGTAAGAATTAATTTGGAGAAAAAAGGAGTATTCCAAAGAGGTAAAGTCTATATTGGTGTACCACCATATAAATCAGACAAGATTTAGAGAACTACAGGGTTTTCACTAAGAAATTTCCAGCTGCCATCTGTCTCTGGAATAATATGTGTGTATGTATTTTGATCTGCTCAAGTATAATACTGCCTGCTTCCATGGAAGAAAACAGATTTGTGAATCATGTTCTTTGGCCTTGGTCCCAGAAAAATGAAATACATGATTTACAGTAGAAACAAGAACTTTACTCTTTGTTCTTCCTGAGAAGGTATAAAAGCGTATTAACTTTATATAGATGTAGAGGTATAAATACGCAGACTTTCATTTAACACATTGCTAAAGAAGAGTTTGTAAAAATCCTGCAGTCGAGAGTTATGAGCCCCCCAAAATCTAAGGTTTATTTTACATACTTTTCAAATGACATTCAAGAGCAATTGATTATCATTCAACTTCTTACATAGTGTTTAACCTAGTCTGGCTCAATATTTTCTAATAAAAATATTTGAAGAGCATAAATTATAAGAAGATGGTAATGAGAAATGGAAAGAATGGTTTAAAAATGGAAAGAATTTATTCCTTCCCAATTTAGAAAACATTCTGATAGGTGGTGTGGGGCAGAGGGCTCACATTATAGAAATCCTTTAATATCGATGCATGTGTGTTTTGTTTTGTTTTGTTTTGCAGCGCAAGACTCATCAGTTTTTTGTAAAATCTTTTACGGCTCCTACAAAATGTCATCAGTGTACCTCGTTGATGGTGGGTTTGATAAGACAGGGCTGTTCGTGTGAAGGTAAGAACAACATGGAAAGAAATGTGAATTCGAGTACTAATGTTTACTACCTAAATTGTAATAAAAAACTTTATTCTCTTTAACAGGTGTATGAATGTTTGTTTGTCTTACTTAATCATTAGTTTTTGTTTGGATAACAAGATGGAGGCAATGAAGTGAGCACCTTGCTAGAGCGTGCTGAATGCTAGGGAAACTAGACAGATGATTGCCAGAAACATTTGTCAAGGGAGATACATTTAAACATGTTTCATTCTATATTTGTTTTATTATTCGGATGCATTTGTGGTCTGGAAAAAACCATTAACTTATATAGCAGGAGAAATGAAAGGGATCCTTGAATCTGTTCATTTAATTTTAACCTTATTTAATTTATTAGAGAACTTATTGTTGGAAAGTGTTGTTGTTGTTATTAGGTGCCGTCCAGTTGGTTCTGACTCATAGCAACCCTATGTACAACGAACAAAATACCGCCCGGTCCTTGTTCTGCGGTGTGTATTAGATTTTTACTGACCATTTTCACAGAAGTATACTGCCAAGTCCTTCTTCCTAGTCTGTCTTTGTCTGGAAGCTCCACCGAAATCTGTCCACCACGAGTGACCCCACTTCCAGCATCATAGCAACACGCAAGCTGCTGGTAGAAAAGTAGGCAACACAATATGTCTTCAGAAATATTAAATATCTGCCACTATGCCTTAGAAGATATTTTATTCCTAGTACTAATAGCAGAGGTTTTTCTGTATCAATTAATTGATTTGCACATCACATGTTTCTGAAATGCCTGCTGTGTGCTTCTAAACACTGGGGATACAGCAGTAGATGGGAGGAAAAGACAAAGGTTCTGCACTGGTGAGCTTACATTCTGACAGATGAAGGGAAAAGGATCAGAGGTCATTTCAGCAGAAAACAAGGCATATTTGTTTGGGTGCCACTTTATTTTTCCTAGGACTTCTGAAATGAATATGATTAAAATTATGGGGAGATACATTATTTATTTGTGAATGTTTTATAAATATACTTTTTTTCCTCTGATGAGACTTATACATGATTTACTGGTATATCTGGTGAAAAAGACAAGAAAATATTTGTTAATTCAAATTCTAATACTAGTTTCCATTTCTTAGCTCTTCCATTCTTAGAGTTGGAAGAGTCCTTAGAGGGAACGTAGTCAGTCACCATCAGATGCCTGTGTTCTCTTCATAGAATGTACTTAGCCTGCAGTTGAAGACTTTGAGTAAGGGGGAAATGGCGTCTTAAGGCAATGCATTCTATGTTTGGTTAGTTGTTGCAACCAAAGTGGAAAATCCAGATTGTATTGTCTAACTAGTCCATTAGATGATGAGTTTAGAGCCAGAGAAAATGGTCAGAGTTGAGTAGAGATTTGAGAGTTGTGAGTGTACAAAGTCATGAATATGAATAACATTGTGCAGGAAGCGGATATAGAATGAGAACAAGTACAAGGACAGAGCCCTGGGAAATGTATTTAAGGGGAGGCAAGAAGAAAAGATAAAAGGAATCTGAGTTGAAATAGTCTATATCATTGACCAGGAACGTGTGACTGAAGGTAAAGAAGGAGAGAATGTGTACAGCTTTCAAGCCTTATCTCATTTGGAACTTAGCTGTGCTTATAAATGTTTGTAAATGTCATTTTAAAACCTGTTTGTCTGAAAGGACCCAGGGCTCCTACCTGGCATTAAGTCCCTTGTCATTTTTGATGCATCAGAATCATTTGCAATATCATAGTAGGAGTTTTTGAGCTCTTCTGAGGCTTGCTTCCCTTCTAGAGTCTTACACCATAAAATTGTGACTATCCTTCTTCAAACCTTTTGAAGCCTACCTTAATAAAGCTGTGGAGACAGGTTCAGCTATGCCCAGCCTTTGTCTGCCATACTTTTGTAGACATTACAGTAATATCATTACAGCCTCTAAAGATCCCTGTTCTTTTTATTTCTCCCTAGTTGATTGGAATTAGATCCAGTATAGGATCCACTGCCTTTTTGAAGCAAGATTTTTGCTTGTTAGCAAAACAAAATACAGGTAGTCCCCAATTTACGACATATTTGACTTACAATGAACTGCACTTACAACCGTTCGTTTTTTAAATTTGAGAATCTTTTTATGTATGTATGTATTAAAATATATCTGCAAGTTTATATGTAATGTTTCCAACCTCCAAAGACAAATAAAGATCATATTTATAAAAACACTGAAAATAAAAGGCAATAACAATGAAAACTTAAAAAGAAAAAAGGTATTTTACTTGTGTCAGAACCAACTTATGACAGAGTCGTCGGAACGGAACCCCATCATAAGTTGGGGACTACCTGTATAACATGTTAGACACTCCGCTTATAATTGAATGGACTGTCCGACAGAAGTTTGTGTAGTTTTCAGAAGTCAATACCAGTCCTTGTTGCATCTGTTGGTTTAAAAATATCCATTTTCCCGTGTGTATGTATATGTAATCCCACAATGATATTTCTTCAGTTCCTCTCTTATTCTTTCCCAAGTATTCTCTGGGATCCACTGTTAGAGTAGGAGTTGTCTAAATAGATAATCTAGAACCCCTCCTAACAAGTTTGTTTGTTTTAAATATTTTAACCTTTAATTCTCATCCAGCCAAGTCTCAATGAAACTTAAGAGTTTGTTGTATTTACCATTTTGTCTTAGAATCTCAGGTTCACCAAGTGAGTATCAAATAGATACATTATGGCAATATTGTTAGTAGTTAGGTGTGCAAGCTTTGAGCCAGACTGCCTGGGCTTGAATCCCAGCACTGCCATCTGTGAGCTCTGTGACCCTGGGCAGGTCATATGTAACATGGGCATAATAATTGTATCTCCTTTAGGTTGTTACAGAAAAATAAAAACACACAATAAAGTTAGCTATTATTATTGTCTTAGTAGTAGTTTAAATATATGTAATAATATTAGTAACTACTAAAATTTACCCTTAATTTATACTTTTCTAATCATTGAACAATTCCAGTTACCAAATTAGGAATTTCCAAATGGGTTATACTAAAACTTGTCACCTACATTATCAGCAATATAAATTGAGTGCCTATTGTGTACCTTTCATAATAATATATTAGAAGAGTTTAGAGAAGTTATATTATTTTTAAAACATTTAGTTTTTACGATTATTATATTTAGTTTATTTGGTTCACAGATATCTAGAGTCTCTTTGTTTGACTACTTTTAGGAAGTCTGATATTGATTTCTATTTAGATAAGCAGTAAATGACAGGAGACTATAATCAAGGCAGCAAAACTGGCTTATCACATTTGGTTTAAAGTTCACTGTAATCAATAGAATGATAAAATATTATACGATACCTTTAGGGGAGCATGAATTAATCATGATCCTTCATTCTTCCAACAAACACTGAGTGTCTGCTCCTTGGCAAGCACTGGGCTAGACATGGAGGGACAAAGGTTTCTGCCAGACATGGAAGATAGAAAGATGAAAGGTGCCATACCACCACCATGTTCATGATCTAGTAAGGGAAAGTACTTATAGGCAAATAATTTCAATCCAGCCCAAGTTGTGATAGAAGTTTATTCAAGATAAGTGGTTTTACAAAGCAGAGAATAGTCAGCTCTGCCTGATAGGTATATCAAGGAAGGCTTCACAGAAGAGAAAGTATCTGAGCTGAATTCTGAAGACTAAGTAGAAGTTTGGCAGGCAAATAAGAGGCAAAAGGCTGAAGAACTGTACAGTGGCATATAGGCAAGAAACAGTATGGCAGGTTCACAATTGCAAATAGTTGTATATAGCAGGGTATATAAGGATATATCCTAGCAGAAAGGGAAGGCCACATAGGAAATTGGCAGGAGGTGAAATTAGAAGAGAAGACAGGGTTCTTGATACAATAATAAGGAATTAAGATTTTATCCTATAGGAGATGAGAAAAATGAGTGAGTGGAGAAAGAACAGATAGCATCTGAGAAGGAATACTAGTAGTCCAAGAGAGTGACATCTCTGAAGCTAAAGAAGGAGTTTCAAAAAGAGGGATTGGTAAAGTTTGGCAGATGTTACAAAAATGTCAAGTAAGTTAATGTCTGTTAATAACCCTTTTGGAGCCCTGGCAGAGCAGTGGTTAAGCACTCAGCTGCTAACCAAAAGGTCAGAGGTTCAAACCCGCCAGCCGCTCCATGGGAGAAAGATATGGCAGTCTGCTTCCGTAAAGATTAAGACTTTGAAACCCTATAGGGCAGTTCTACTCTGTCCTATAAGGTCGCTATGAGTCAGAATCGACTTGATGGCAACAGATTTTTGGGGGGAGTAACCCTTTCAAGAGAAATTTCAGGGCAGACACCAAGTTGCAATGGGATGAAGAGTTAGAGAGAACTTCAGAAAGTACTCTTTTAGGGATTCAAAGTTTAAGTCAGTCATTTTATTCACAAGGCTAGATGACTTTTGTATCTATGTGCTTCTCATTTGATCCCTTATGTTAACACAGAATGATAATATTACAATAATAAGGAAATTTTTACTATTTCTCATTGAAATTCTTATTGGTAAGTCAGTGGATCAGCTTCTCAAATGATAAAACATTTGTTTAAAATAAAACAGAGATAAGCATTCATCTAACATAGCACCTTGCATGTAATGAATGCCCAGTGAATATCTTTTTTGTAAAAATGAATTCCTATTAAACATTGTTTCTTTTTTTCCCTGCGAAAGTGTGTGGATTCTCATGTCATATAACTTGTGTAAACAAAGCTCCAACCGCTTGTCCAGTTCCTCCTGAGCAGACAAAGGGTCCTCTGGGTATAGATCCACAGAAAGGAATCGGAACAGCATATGAAGGCCACGTCAGGGTAAGTGTATTAGGTCAGGCTTTGAATAATCTTTTAAGGTTTAGTAATGAATTAAAATTAAACCCAGTCACTTTGTGAGCATAGTTCTTGACAGAAAATTAAGTGAATAAAATTCATCTAGTCATTTTACTTCATCCGGGGTAATGACTTGAAAACAAAAAGCTAGCCTTTGCTCAGAAATAAATTCCAAAATGTCTCATACTTTTCTGTACTGTCCCTGTCTTTTTATGAGCAAGTGTTGAACTCTCCGTAAAGGAATCTTTGGCAGATGGTCTTGCCAGAGAGGTGACATATGGTTATGAAGTATGAGATATCATTAAGGCATTATCTTACTTGTTACCATGAGTAATACTTAAAGCATGAGCTGGACTTCATCTTACTACCAAATTTGGCTTTTATGCTACTTAGAAAGAAAGCCACAACTGTTACTTTAATGAATTACTAGTGAAAGTTAAAATGGTACTGTTTTTTTAATTTTCAGAATAAAAAGGCATTCAATGTTTTCTCACCTTTTTTCACATTATTAATGTTACCAACCAAAGTGACAGACTTATAATATGTTTACATTATCTTTAGGTTTTCACCCTGTAATTATATATGTAATTAAAGGAGCTCTGAGTGATATTTAAGTTGAGTTGTTTTTGTTTGTTTGTTTGCTTGCTTGTCTGTCTAAAAATAAAACTAAGATTCCTAAGCCAGCTGGAGTAAAGAAAGGATGGCAAAGAGCATTGGCTGTAGTTTGTGACTTCAAACTATTTCTGTATGATATTGCTGAAGGAAAAGCATCTCAGCCCAGTGTTGTAGTCAGTCAAGTGATTGACATGAGGTAAGCTTTTGAAGGTGAAAATATTTGTATCATTGCTACATGTTAAAAATGTACTGATTTTTCTTTTAATAATATTGCCACATTTTTATTTGATTAATCTAATTTATTGTTAATTAATTTTGTTAATTTTATAACATACTGATATTACTGTAGTAATATAATTAACAATAGAAAGTAAGGTATATTTATAAGATGGATTGATGTGTGTGTCTGTGAGTGTGTTGGGACTAGGGGCCAGGAAAAAGAAGCTGGTGTTTGAGTCCAAAAGACCAGTTTAGAGGTTGCTGGGGTAATAGAGGCCTAGTGTATGATGTTTGTATCCTCACCTAAAGGCTTACAGTATAATTCCAGTGTGAGGAAAAGCAGTAAAAATTTCAAAATCAGGCAAGCTCTTGAAACAGACAGTGAATCAGTGAACATTTATGTAAGTACATCTCTTGAGAGAAAAGCAATATGCTTTTCTTTCTATCTCTGAATGTTTCTGGTCTTATTGTACAGACTTTGCTCTTGCCCTTTGGAGTTCTGTCCTTTTTCTCTCCTCCTAACTCCAGACACTCTCTGAGTGATCTTATTTTCTCCCATAGCTTCAGTCATCTGTTCCGCATTGGTGACTCCCAAACATGTATCTCCAGTCCAGATCTTTCTCCTGCCCTCAAGACCAGGATTTCCAGCTATGTTTCATTTCACACCAACATCACAAACACATTATCATCCCTCACAGATACAGAATATGAGGGGGTAGATGCAAGCAGTATTAGCAAAAAAAATGCGAGAGCCTGCTAAGGGAATGAATATAGAAAGATAGGGAGAGGAGTCAAAAATAAGACTTAAGTATTGAGCCTTCAAGACCAAAGTAGTGATGGTACCAATACCAAATTAAGGAAATCACAGGGAATAAATTACTGTGGAAGAAATCTGTTTAATTTGTTGAATGTATTGAGGGCATTTGCAGTTTATTATGGGAGGCAGTAAGGTCTCCTGGAGGCTCTGAAGGGCTACCAGGGTTCAAATCTCATTTTTATAGTATACTTACTGGCCTTGTGACTTTCGGTAACCCAGTAATTATTTTTAGTTCTTGTATAATGTGCCACTGTTCAGTTACTCTTGATAAATTACTTTGGGCACTGCTAGTGAGATTGTAAAATGGTACAGCCAATGTGGAAAACAGTTTTTCAATTCCTCAAAAAGTTAAACATAGAATTACCATGTGACCCAGCAGTTCTTCTAGTAGGTATATACCCAGTAGAATTGAAAGCAGGAATGCAAACAGATACTTTCACACCAGTGTTCACTGCAGCCCTATTCACAATGCCAAATGGTGGAAGCAGCCTTGATGTCCATCAGCAGATGAATGAATAAAATGGATAAATGTGGTACATATATACAGTGGACTATTACTCAGCCATAAAGAGAAGTGAAGTCCTGATACATGCTATGACACGAATGAATCTTGTAAACATTATGCCGAGTGAAATAAGTCAGTCACAAAAGGACAAATATTGTATGATCCCACTTATATGAAATGTCTAGAATAGGCAAGTATATAGAGACCAAAGTTTATTAGTGGTTACCAGGGGCAAGCAGGAGGAAGGGGGAAAAGAGGACTCAGTGCCTTGGGGACACTGAGCTTCTGTTAAGGATGATGGAAAATTTGGAAACGTATAAGGGTGATGATTGAACAACACGATATACATAAGTTCATGTCACTGAACTGTACATATGAAGAATGTTGAAATGGCAAATGTTTTTTTTGCGTGTATATTTATCACAATTAAAAAAAATTACTTTGGGCACTATCAGTTGTGATGAAGGTAAAAATCAAAAAAAATTTTTTAAAGTTCTATTTGGGTGTTTTGTGCAATTGTCAAGGATTGCTTCTCATGAGTTGTTTGGATACACACCCAAAACCGCATACACATACCCACATACACTGACTTCTAATGTTTCACTTTTCCTTCAGGGATGAAGAATTTTCCGTGAGTTCAGTCTTGGCTTCTGATGTTATTCATGCAAGTCGAAAAGATATACCCTGTATATTTAGAGTAAGTGTGTATGCTATAATTTGATCTCTAAATTATATAGCTTTTAATGAGTACAAATTTTGCCTCTTCATATAAATCATAAACCTACTTGGACTAGTCCCAAATCTTATATTTCTCTATATCCTCCATATCATGGAATACATGAACGTATAAACAATTAGTAAGTATTTAATTAGTGAAAAGACCTGTAGACCTTCTAAAATAGGTTTCCTCTTGTATAATATTTTTGAGTTGCCATTCTGCTTTCAAATAAATACACAGTGGAAAATTGGATAAGGCTTAAAAAAAATAGAAGTTTATCTCTTTAAAAATGTCATTTTTAATATTAATATGTGTTTCAGTTACCTATTGCTTTATAACAACCATTTCAAAACTCAGTGGCTTAGAACAACAATGATTTGTTTTTTACATCTCTGTCCGTGGTTGGACAGTTCTTGTAGTGTCCGCTGGGGCTACTCATGTGACCACTGCAGCCCTAGTGCCAGGGGCTGGCTGAGGTGTCTCAGTTCTCCTCTGTGTGGACATTTTATCTATGCGGACTCTAATCATTCAGTAGTCTGACTGAGCTTTACAAAGCTAGCTTCCAAGAAGCAAAAGAAGCCTCCAGGTCTTTTAAGGACCAGGCCCAAAACAGGCATTATGTCCCTTCTGTATTCTGTTGAGGAAGACAAGTCAAGAGGCCAGCCCAGATTTATGGGGAGGGGAAAGAGACCCCACCTCTTGATAAGAAGAATGGAATTCTGTAGGAGGAATTGTTGGCAGCCATCTCTGGAGGCTGTCTTCCACAGTGCAATTCTTGAATTGGCAAATTAAGACAATAGAGGTAGAAAAGAACAACTGACCTGTTATTGTACCTACATGGCTAGTATTTGTTTATGAATCTTGTATCTAAGGAAAGCCAGACAAAGGCTATACTTGGTCAGTCTTAAAAAAAGTCAGTGTATGTAACCGTTTGTTCTCTCCTCAGCCACCAAGGGATCCCACAGAGGCCCACTTAACCTATAACTGATTCACATAGTGGAATTTTATTGTCACTGATGCTTAAATTAATTTTAATAAGGAATCCATATATATATATAAAATTTAAGTCTGTTCTGATTGTCAGTGCTGTTTGCATAATTATAAACCTTCATTTAAATACTAACTCAAGAGATCCGCTCTAGTGATAATATGAGTTACTGGCATGAAGTAACAGAGAATGTAAGTATTTCTAAAAATTTCTGACTTTAAAACAAATTGGAAGACAGCAGGGTGTAGTGGTTAAGACCATGGACACTGGATACCAGACTACTAGTTATGTACTCATGGAGAAATTTTCTCACATATAAAATAAGGATGTAATAACAATACTTACTTCATGAAGATGTTATAAGAGTTATATGAGTTAATACTTTTAAGGTGCTTCGAATTAGTACCCAGTACTGAGTAATTACAAAGTAAACGTCAGCTATTCTTATATAAATTGATGTAATGCTTTTTTTTTTGAGGAGCCCTGGTGGCGCAGTGGTAAAGCACTCAGCTGCTAACCAAAAAGTTGGTGGTTTGAACCCATCAACAGCTCCACAGGGGAAAGATGTGGCAGTCTGCTTCCACAAAGATTACAGCCTAGTAAACCCTATGAGGCAGTTCTGCGCTGTCCTGTAAGGTCACTGTGAGTCAGAATCAGCTCAACGGCAGCAGGTTTAATGCATGTTTTAATGTTAGTGTTCTGGTATTTTATGGCAAGGACAGTGAAAATGACACTAATGTTTAAAAGGTTTCTGCTACCTTTGCTTTGTCATGAATTCTAATTAATGCTAAAACTAGTTATTCTTCTGATTAGGGACAGCTAAACTCTATTACCAGTATCATTTAATGAATGCTCATTTTATTGGTGAGTGCTAAGCAAACTAGCTTAGTCATAAAACTAGTATAAAGGGTGTGTCTTCTGATACCATGAATGTTGGTTAAATTGTTCTAGGTCACGGCTTCCCAGTTCTCCGCATCGAATAACAAGTGTTCGATCCTGATGCTAGTAGATAGTGAGAATGAGAAGAGTAAGTGGGTGGGAGTGCTGAGTGAATTGCACAAGATTTTGAAGAAAAACAAATTCAGAGACCGCTCAGTCTATGTTCCCAAAGAGGCATATGACAGTACTCTACCCCTCATTAAAACAACTCAGGCAGCTGCAATCATAGGTATGAATTTACTTCTATCGTATTCTCATGATTGTTTACTATTCTACCTTGTGGCGAGGGACTGTCTTTCATCTAGGAATCCCCAGTACTCAATGTAGTATGTGTTCTATCACGGATGCTCAATAAATGTTTGTTGAATGAATGAGACCTATATTAGAACTTTGTTTTTCAGTTAACAAGAATAAGCACACTTTCCAAATGCTTGTTCTTCTGAAAATGCAATAGTGCCAAAGATTAACTAATCTGTTAACCAGTCTGTTTTCTACTTGTTTGATTTAGAACAAGTTACTTAGTTTCACAGAGTATAAGTCTCATATGTAAAATGTAGCCATTAATTACCTTGCTGAGGTTGTTTGGAAGTTTAAATAAGATGGACTACATAAAACTGAGTGCTTTGCATATAAAATGCCCTCAAGAAACTGTCTGCAGTTTTAAATTTTAGCCATATTCTTATATATGCCTCCAACTCTTTTGTTGCTTTCTAGTAAATACTGAAGAGTTTAATGAGTAGTATTCAAATCTATTTGCCTTTCACAAATTTTCCCCCCAAAACAAGAAATGGAACTGAACCCAGAGCACTAACAAACTAGGTTTTTAATTTTTTTCCCCATTCATTGAGCAAACATTTAGTTATTTTTGTAAGTACTGATATAGATTAGTTTCTAATGATTATACTGTTAAAAAATGGCATGAGTAATAATATTTACTGCTGTATTCTGAAGGGAAATTTAATTGTGCAAATTGTTATTGTTATTTTTTAACTTTTTGTCTTATTTATTTCAGTTTCTTGCACCAAATTTCCTTTACTAATAAGTTATCTGGTTTATTTATTTAGCTTTATGTAGTGTTTACTAATAAAAAAAGATGTTTCATTTTATGTCTTATGTAGATCATGAAAGGATAGCTTTGGGAAATGAAGAAGGGTTATTTGTTGTACATGTCACCAAAGATGGTAAGAAAAAATTTAATTATTTTCGAGTAACTCTAAGCTGTATGTTGTTTAAAAGTGCTAAACTCTAAAAATAATATCAGAATTTTCTTTTATTTATTCTTTAGCTGAAATTGTCCAGATCCAATTTGATGTGTTTATAAGTCAAAAGATTATCTTTTTAATTTCCATCATCCCCCTCAGTTCTAAAACTTCAAGTGTGTTTTGTCTTTCTTGGGTCATTTTATACAACAGTTCTGCTGTATGGTCTCAGATTGCATTCTTAAAGATGGTACATGAAAGAAAATACAACTTGCTTTTTCCATTGTTCTATTAGTACTATAAGAGGTGACAACCATTAAAGTGTGTTTGTTGTTTTTTCCCACGTTCAACACAACAGGTTTTTTCTAGAGAGAGATTAAATACTGGGAGAAACAATGAAGAACCAATTTAATTCAGCACTGTTGAATGCAGTATTCTAAGTGCAATCTTTATATCAAGTTAGATCATGGGTAAACAGTGTGTTTAAACTACATTAGTTTGTTACCCATAGAAATACCTTCAGTGAAATATGAGTTACTAAGTTACTCGGTTTTTTAAAATGGAAACCCCATGGTGAAGTTCCCTAGAATTTAGTGCCAGCAAAAAGATTTTTTCTTAAAGATTTAGCATCCTTTATCAGACAAGAACTTTTGCCTTAGCTGCCAGAAACCTCAGTGCTAAATTTAATTCCTTACTACGGTAATTGTTTTATATCTTATAATGAGTTATTTTCCCTTTTCTCTATATGATTTCTGCTCTCTTATTCTTCTGTGTGTATATCTGTGTCTTTATTATAAGCTGATATATTCTTTTGTGTATAATTGGTATATAATTAAGTTAATAAATAAAACATTTTGCATTTGATTTATTATTATTTCTATGTGTAGAAATTATTAGAGTTGGTGACAATAAGAAGATTCATCAGATTGAACTCATTCCAAATGATCAGCTTGTTGCTGTGATCTCAGGACGAAATCGTCACGTACGACTTTTTCCTATGTCAGCTTTGGATGGGCGAGAGACTGATTTTTACAAGCTAGCAGAAACTAAAGGGTGTCAAACCATAACTTCTGGAAAGGTGCGCCATGGAGCTCTTACATGCCTGTGTGTGGCTATGAAAAGGCAGGTCCTCTGTTATGAACTATTTCAGAGCAAGACCCGTCACAGAAAATTTAAGGAAATTCAAGTCCCATATAACGTCCAGTGGATGGCAATCTTCAGTGAACAACTCTGTGTGGGATTCCAGTCAGGATTTCTAAGATACCCCTTGAATGGAGAAGGAAGTCCATTCAGTATGCTCCATTCAAATGACCATACACTATCATTTATTGCACATCAACCAATGGATGCTATCTGCGCAGTTGAGATCTCCACTAAAGAGTATCTGCTGTGTTTTAACAGCATTGGGATATACACTGACTGCCAGGGCCGAAGATCTAGACAACAGGAATTGATGTGGCCAGCAAATCCTTCCTCTTGTTGTAAGATTCTCTTACTTTTGGCTGTCTTATCTTTCTGTCTCTTTCCTTTCTTTTTTTTTCCACTTAATGTCCTAAATGTAGTCATTGTTGATAACAGGTTATTATTTTTTTAAGTCATCCTTAAGGTTTTTCATAAGTATTCATCATATCATTTATGTAAAGTAACCATAATGTCATTAGGCCTAGGCCAATAGGGTCAACTTTTAACATGCACATGACTAAAGCTAATCTTTCCAGGCAGTGTTTTATTTAGATGGATTCTTAACCCAGGTTGTATTTTGAAATAACCCAGTTATCTTCCTGGTCACTAAAAATATAGTGTTTGCACTCATTAATAACTCATAGGACTTATTCTGGAGAAGTAGTTACTAAGGGAATTATTTAATCAATTACGTAAAGGTATATAATGTAGCATCTATAAGCAGCATTATTCAGTTTTACTTTTTTATCTAGATAGGTAGAAATTTTAAATTGCTTATTTCACTCTTTCAAGAAATATTCAGACACTAATAAATTATTGAATACTTATTATGTGCCATTCACTGTGTGAGACATAGCAATGAACGAAAGAGACATAGTCTTGCCTTCACAGAGCAGAAGATTCATGATAAACAAGTAGTTGCCGTAGAATATAAGTGCTGTGATAGCAGTAGTACAGAGTTCTGTAGAAACACATAGGAAAAATAACTAATCGAAAATGTTTTGTTTTTAATGGAAGAAACTTTAACACGTTTAAATGCTGAGGAGAAAGAACCACTAGGGAACTCCAGAGGAAAGATTGACTGTGGGAGATACAGGAAATAGAGTCAGACCCCCCAAAAAGGCCAGAGAGGATGGAACTCAGAACACAGGTGGAAAGATTGTTTGGGACGGAAGGAATGAAAGCTCTTCCACTGTAACAAGGTAGAAGGAGGAGGGATGGGTATGGTACAGCCCAGTTAAAAGTTTGGAGGAAGAAAGTTTAGGAGAGCAACACATGCTTATGACAGAAAAATTAGAAAGTCTAGATTAACAGAAGAAAAATACCCCTCCTCCCACCCTCGCTGACTTAACTATTCTTAATGTTTTGTTTCTTCTGAAATATATGCACGTATCTATGGCATCATACATAGAACGATAACCTAGCCAGATAATTTGAAGTATTACTATTTATAAACTTCTCATGTGGAGTAGGAGCCCTGGTGGCACAGTAGTTAAGAGCTCGGCTGCTAACCAAAAGGTCAGCAGTTCAAATCCACCAGCCGCTCCTTGGAAACCCTATGGGGCAGTTCTGCTCTGTCCTACAGAGTCACTATGAGTCAGAAAACGACTTGACAGCAACAGGTTTTTTAATATGGAGTTAAGAGTTGAAATATCTGGCTTTTATGAATAGCTCTGCCAGTAATTTAATTTGTGACCTTTGTTTAGGTAAATAATCTCTCTTTGCTTATGTCACCATTTATTGATATTCATTCTTTCTTTCTACAATTATATATCTATTGTGTGCATGTAATCGTGCTAGGTACAGTCTCTTACATTTGTAACTGAGACTAGAATTCTTACCTAAAGATTTCTCTGCTTTGTGAATGTAATGAAATTCCTTTGTAAAGGATAATGAAATTCCTTTATTAAACTAGTTTTTAACAAGGAAATATTAAACTCTTGATATTAACAGAAACTTCATGCATTATCATCGCTATGTAATCTGATCCATGGTATGTCAGTTCTTCATTTATGATTTATGTTCTTTCTATTTCAAAAATGTTTTGATGTGGCTGCTATATGATGTCAATAGAATTTTGGTGAGACTCCACTCTATAATTATTTAACAGGTTTTTTTAAGGTTTTGGGTTTAATTGTTAAAGTAATCACAAGGCTGTTTCCTCCTTCCCTTCTCCCAGGTTACAATGCACCATATCTCTCAGTGTACAGTGAAAATGCGGTTGATATCTTTGATGTGAACTCCATGGAATGGATCCAGACTCTCCCTCTAAAAAAGGTAATTTAACATTAACATACGGCTAAATGAACCAGTGCATGAAAGTGAAAACATTAATATGAGTCTTTAGCTATTTTTCAGTAATTCAACATTTTCTAGCATATGATTTGGTAATTTGGGACTTAGCTAAGAGTAAGAAAATAGAAATAATAGAAACAAAAATCAACTATTTTTATTCCATTATATTTATATTGTATTATATTTAACATAACATTATATATTACCTTACATTATATTTATGTTATGTTAGCTTTGTTATATGAAGTATGATTTTTATTATAACGAACTGGAATATATCCTACAGCCTACAATGTCGGTGTTATCTTCCATTTTGAGTTTAAGGAGCTCTGCGGGAGTATATTATTATTCTTAATTATAACTGTTTTCCACATAATGGTATGCAGTTTTTAATCCTGTGAGGACAGATTTCACAGGCTAGAAAAGTGATTAAACTTAGAACCAAAGCTGTGTTTAAGTATCTCATAATTTAAAAATAAAGTTTTCACATACTCCTAATATAACATAATATTTTCCTTTAATATTTTCTTATGTTTTCATAACATACAGGGAATTTTTGCAAGTATAGAACTGCTGTTGTGCAAGAATGGAGAATAATAATTTTATACAGATATGTATACTAATATATAGCGTGCATCGTTAGTTGAGGCATCAAGGTATAGAGAGATCAGAGTGAAAGAAAGTAGCCACAATCACATTTCAAATATCTCCCCATTTTTTAACAACATCAGCAGTGAAAAAAACTCTTGTAAATACTGCCACATTACATAAAGCAGTTAAAATATGCTCCTCCAGTTTGAAAATTTGGGCTGGTTACAATTGGTTTTTTGTTTTATTTTTATCATGTAATTTTGGGAGTATATATATGAAAGAATATATGACGCTTACGGTGCATAACAATAAATTGCTCACTTGTGAACCCACCTCCTGACTTAAAAACCAGAACATTACCGATACCACTGCATCTCCCTGTGCACTTCTCCCTTGCTCCATACCCCTACCTCTCTGCAGAGAAAATCACTCTTCTGAATTGTGTGTTTATCATGTCCTTGCTTTTCTTAAAATACAGATTTTTTGCATATTTAAAAATTCCTAAACAATATGTTGTTTAGTTTTACTTGGCTTGGGGCTTTATAGAAATGTTATGTCGTATGTCATCTTTTGCCTGGTGTTCTTCACTCATTTACTGTGTTTCTAACATACATCCATGTTACTACATGTACTATAAGAGTTTACTGATTTTCACTACTATGAAATACTCTGTTGGGTAAATATATCTCAATTTATTTATCCACTCTCTGATTGGCAGACATTTGAATTATTTCCTAGCTGTTTGCTATTATGAACAATGATGCTGTGAACATTTCTGCATATGTCTTCTGGTACATATGTTCAGGAGTTTCTTTAAGTCTTATGCCTAGGAGTGGAATTGATAGGACACGTGGAATGCAATTGTCAACTTTACAAGATAGTAATTTCCAAAGTAATTGTACCAACTGACACTCCACCAGCAGTATGTAAGAATATTTACTGACGTACATCCTCATTATTATCTTCCAAAGGAATTGTACCAGTTGACACTCCCACCAGCAGTATATAAGAGTTCTTACTGACCCACATTCTCATTAACACTTGCCGTTTTCAGACTTCATAAAAAAAAAAGTTGGAATCAAAATTGACTCCAACTCCCAGCAACCCCATGTGTGTGAGAGTAGAGCTGTGCTCCATAGGGGTTGTAGGTGGCTGGTGTTTCCAGAAGTGGATCACCAGACCTTTCTTCTAAGGAGCCTCTGGGTGACTTCAACTTCCAGCCTTTTGGTTAGCAGCTGAGCGCATTAACCATTTTCACCACCCAGGGATTACATCAGACTTCATAGTTTTTGTAGATAGTTACAAAGTGTTGTCTCACTGAGGTGATAATTTGCATTTCCTGAGTTTTCTATGCTTGTTCATCATTCATATTTCTTCTTCTGTGAAATCTTGGGTCATATCTTTTGCCCGTTTTTTTTGTTGGAGTGGCCATCTCTTTCTTATTGGTTTATTGGAATTTTTTATATTTTATGAAAATTGAATTAATAATGGGTGTTGTAAATCTTTTCCCTGTTTGTGAGCTATCTATTCATTTTTTATGGTGTCTTTTGCTAAACAGAAGTTATTAACTTCAATGTAGTTAAATGTCTCTTTCTTATCCTTTAGGTTAGTTTTTTGTCTCTTGTCTAAGAAACTTTTTTCCTGCCTCAGGGTCATAAAGATAGAACCTTTATGTTCTTCCAAAAGTTTTAAAGTTTTGCCTGTTACATTTATGTCTTTAATCCATCTGGATTTGATTGTGTGTGTGTGTGTGTGTGTGTGTGTGTGTGTGTGTGTTGTGTGAAGTAGGGATCCGATTTCATTTGTTTGCATATGGATAACCAGTTGCTCCACCACCACTTCTTGATAGCCCCCCCTTTCCCCCTGGTCTGCAGTTTCACCCACCTAATATGTATATGTTTAGTTTTTGATGATAATAATTCATAAATCAGCTGTATTAATATCATTTTAGTATATTTGGTCATTAATAACTTTAAAAAGTCAAATGTAAAATTAAATATATTTCTGTTTAGTACTTTTTTTTTGCCTAGGATATTCTTCTAAAATGTTATCATAAGTTTGTTCAAATTAGATAATTTTATAACTTTCCAGTAAAAATTAATGTTATTTTTTGTCATTGTTGATTTTCTGAGAGGGCTGTATTTTGAAGAAGAAGGATAAATGAAAAGGTCTTAGTATTTTGTGCTTTATAAATAAACCAAAAACTTCATAGTTTAATTTTTAAAGATTTCGTCGAAATATTAATTTTATTTTTTATTATTTTAGGTTCGACCCTTAAACAGTGAAGGATCACTAAATCTTCTAGGGTTGGAGACAATTAGATTAATATATTTCAAAAATAAGATGGCAGGTAAGAAAATACACATATTAATAGGACACTTCAATGGAAGTATTCTCTCTAAGCTTATTGTCCAATGTCACATCAGTAATAAGTGGCAGAGACCATACTTAAACTCAGGAATACCTTACTCCAAAGTCTGTGATCTTTACCACTATCATGCTCTCTTAATATACTAAACTACTAGATGGAAAATCATTCTATTTAAGCTTCCCTAGCCATATATGCAAAATATTTGATTCTGGCATAACCATTATTTTCCTGTGGGGTACCTAGGTAAGAAGAGAAAGTGTAGCGAATATATCTTCTGTACTTTCACTTTCAATACTACAGAACCTGCCAAAATCTGTAGCACCAAAATTGTGAACATTCATCCAGAGTTCCAGATTGGGACTTCAAGAACACATCTTCTGCCAATGCTAAGGGCTTAGAATTTCTCAAGTGCTAATGACAACATGAGAAGAAGCAGGAAAGAGGAAAGTCACAGGAGTGCCCAAAATCAGCAGAAGAAATGGGAACCCTGTGTGTTGCAGAGAAGAGGGGGCAGTTGGTCAGTGACCAAAGTCATGAGGTGATGATTCCCCAGCCAGCGATGCTGCCCACATGTAATTGATTCGGAGAAGTTGTTTGCCAGTCAGAGTATGCTCAAACATTAAAATCCCACTTACAACAAATATTATTATAATGACCTCTACTATATAATAGTTATTCTTATGTCTTAGCAACAAATTTCTACATGAAAGAGATATTCATAAATATCTGATCTCTTGTGGTGAATCTATTTAATGAAGATGTACTTATGGTGTATCATGTATTTAAGAAAAGATTGAAGTTGTCAAGGATTTCATTTTACTTGGATCCACAATCAATGCCCATGGAAGTAGTAGTCAAGAAATCAAATGACGTATTGCACTGGGAGAATCTGCTGCAAAAGAACTCTTCAAAGTGTTAAAAGGCAAAGATAACACTTTGAGGACTAAGGTGCGCCTGACCCAAGTCATGGTGTTTGCAAGTGCCTCATATGCATGTGAAAGCTGGACAGTGAAAAAGGAAGACCGAAGTAGAATTGATGCTTTGAATTAGAGTGTTAGCAATGAATGGACTGCCGGAAGAACGAACAAATCTGTCTTGGAAGGAGTACAGCCAGAATGCTCCTTAGAGGCAAGGATGACAAGACTTGGTCTCACATACTTTGGACATGTTATCAGCAGGGACCAGTCCCTAGAGAAGGATGTCATGCTTGGTAAAGTAGAGGGTCAGCAAAAGAGAGGAAGACCCTCAATGAGATGGATTGACACTGTGGCTGCAACAATGGACTGAAGCATAACAACAATTATGCGGATGGTGCAGGACCGGGCAGTGTTTTGTTCTGTCGTAGTTAGGGTCGCTATGAGTTGGAACCAACTCGACAGCACCTAACAACAGCAACAATAATGTATTTAAAAGAAAAGTTTAAATTGACTTAAATATAAGTAAAAATATTGGCTTCCAGAACACACATCAAAATACACCGGTTACCACTGGGTGGCAGGATTATTATCTTCTTTATGCTTTTCTTTTTTCCCCATATTCCACCAATAAATTTGTATACTCAGCTATCAGAAAGATATCCATCAAAGGTGGTTTTTTAGGGGTTTTTTTTGAACTACTAAAATACACAAATTGATTTCCAGTTTGGTGCTTTGCTACATGTTCTTGGAACTGGAGGTATTTTGCTGTACAGATGTGAAGATAGTAGAATTCCTGTGTTAGACTTGAGAAAAGATATTCAGGTTTTAGAAATGATTCCCACTCAGAGACAGATTTATCGTCAAGCTAATGAAGCTTACGTTTCAGGCTCCTCACTTCCTTTCTGTTTCTCTTTCTTAGAGAAGATTCCAAATCTCTGTAAGATTGGATCCACCCTCTTCTCTCTGTGCAGGACCTTGTTGGTCATAAAATATGTCCATGCCCAGTCTATGTCTATGGGACAAAACTTCTTCCGACTTATCTTTTCCCACGCTCTCACCTTTCCACTCTAGACTAAGAGTAGAGCTAGAGATTGGAGAAGGGAGACCTGACAAAATTTAAATGTAGTTGTCTTGTCTTTTGGAAAGAAAAGGAAATCCCATTTCCAAGAGGTGTTTTCTTTTCCCTTTCTTGCTTTCTCCTTCATCTCTCAGGAGCTCAGAATGCTCCCTTTGGCTATTTAAACTCTCCCATTACCACCATAACTCTCCAAGACCTGTTCTACCCTCACAAATCCCAAATTCCAAAATTATATCTCACATTCTCAACTGCTTTTAAAATTCTTTTCTTTTAATGTTTGTGGTTAGGAAACCAATCTGATTAAGCTGCATTATTACACCACAAGGAAAATATCACTTTTTTACTAATCATCTACGTTGGCTTGCTCTACAATTCCACTTGGCTTCTTCTTACCCCTTTTTCTTCATTTCAGTATTTTGGATATTAAAAATTTGTAAAGATTGGCTTTTCTCTTTTTCCTTATTTAGAGAATGGCATCCCCTGACATTTTATATGGATTCTTTATCTTTTTTTTTTTTTCCTTAGAGTATATTCACATAGCCCAGCATGGTTTGTGAGCCCCTGGTTGACAAACTTATTTACTTCTAGGTAACTGAAGGGATAGAATGGACACCAGGCTCCTACACGATTAAGTATCATCCATCCCCAAGATAGAAAAGTGGAAACAGTGACAGATTCTTTGGTAAAGGAAGGTAGTGGGAGCACAATTCCTTTTCCTTACTCCACATTTCGCAGATTGAATCTTGTAGAGGAAATGTTTTATTATGTAAAAGTAATTTTTAACTATTATTATATACATGACTAGTTTATGATTTATGCCTGTTTACCGTGCAGCATAACAATAGTTTTTAACACCCTTCAGCCACTGAAACCAATACTTAGAGGGAGAGAGGTGATAGTATAGCCAGGTCAGGGGCGGGGTGGCACATCACAGTGACAGGGCTCCGAGGCTACTACGTTTCTTTGAGTAAAATTGTGCCACTTTCTACTTAAAGAAAAGTAAAAATAGCTATGTTTTATTTCAGCATATGTCTGTTTCCATAAGCTGGTTTATAATTCTTGCTTATATGCTATGACTATCACAACAGCTTTTAAAAATCTGAACTCTTTATACTTGTTCACTTGATTAACATTTGTATTGTTTTGGAGATTACTAGGTACAAAGTATTTTAGAAGTTTAAAAAACATGATTGTTCTTTGTGTTTCTTTTTTGGTTTTTTTTTTAATAGAAGGGGATGAACTGGTAGTTCCTGAAACATCAGATAATAGTCGGAAACAAATGGTTAGAAGTGTTAACAATAAGCGGCGGTATTCCTTCAGAGTCCCAGAAGAGGAAAGGATGCAACAGAGGAGGTAGATATTTAATTTATGTTTATTGTCTATACAAGCTTGTAGCGCCTGAAAGACTATTTAATGATAATACTATATTTGATTTGGAAGGAAAATTTGATCTCTGAGAAATCTCTAAAACCAATAATGACTGTGACTTCTCAGTGTAATGTTAATTTTCTCAAACTTGTAATGTGCACTGGATTGAAGTACTGTATTTTGATTGATTTCTGTATGTGCATGGAATAGTTATACTTTTTTGGAATGCGTGTGTTTCTATGATATAAACATAGAATGTATCTGTGCATATAATAAACCTGCATATGTTTAAGAAGTTCATATGAACAATTCTCTCATGAGCAAACAGAAATAGGATTTCGTTACATATAAAAACATATCTAAAATGTTATCAGTTATTTTAAAAGATATAGTAAAATGGTCAGGATTATCTGTAAAATAGAGTAGAGCTTCTTTGATGTCTAAGTATTAAAAGAACCCTCTCTATTTTCCCACCAAAAGTTACAAGATCTTTTATTTAAATTTTAGAACAAAACTTTCTTAGGAAGTGAATTTTTAATTGACTGTATTCTATTATTTTTAAATATATCCTTATTAACATGGTTTTACAGTTCTATTTTTATAAATTTTTTTCTTAAAAATAATAAAGTATGCTTAATTTTTTCCTCTAAGTTATCTAGATTGATCGTGGAAAAAGTATCTAAATAGGTGTTTTATCTTACAGAGAGATGCTGCGAGATCCAGAAATGAGAAACAAATTAATTTCTAACCCAACTAATTTTAACCACATAGCACACATGGGTCCAGGAGATGGAATACAGATTCTGAAAGACCTGCCCGTGGTAAGAGGAATGAAGAGGAGATGTGAACGTGAATGGAGCTAGGAGTAAATGATATTTATATATGTGTGATAATTTTAAAAGACGTTTAATATAAGGCAGAAACGTTCATCTCAGTATTTCATAATGTATGTGAGATGCATGATGACATACCTGATGAGAAAAACATAAAATTTAGACATCTGTCAAAACCTGATCAAAAGACAAAGCCGAGTTCCTGAGTTCCAACCCCTATAAACATCTCCCAAACTTGGACTTAATGTTGTTGGTGGAAGAAACTACAGGGTTTGGGGAGGTTCTACACCAAGATTCAGGACTTGGTTACCAAATCATTAAAATGTCACTAAGTTTTAGCAACTCAGTACAGATACTTGATTTCTCTCTTTATTTTTCCAGAGAACCAGTTAGCTTGGTCATTAATGGTCATGCCTCTCAGCTGGTTGTGAAATTAAATCTTTTTCCTTTGCCCAATGACAGACATGTTTTCTTGTCACTCTTACATAAAAAAAAAAAAAAAGCACAACATAGGAAAACTATTGTGTTTTAACCATATAAGATTGGATTCTCAGAGCGTCTGTGTTGAGATTAAAAAGATGAGTGGAATTAGCTAATTACCAAGTTCTGTTTATACTTAACATTTCAGTATGATAGTGTTCTCAGCAAACTACTGAAACTTTAATATGATCCTTTTGATTAGTGGTGATAGCAGCTAAATGTTGCACAGAATTTTAAGCATGATTTATAAAGCATGGCAATTTGGAGGATGATTTGTGAATCTTGACCCAAAGCTCTTTCTGAGAAAGTCTATCTTAGTTGCCCACTGCCAACTCTACTGTGATATAGAAGATGTAAACATCTGTCACTGACACAGAGAAAATTGTAGGTAATGTAGTTTGATGTGCAGTCCTTATACTTTTTTAAATGAAAAAAATTAAGCTTTTAAAGGAAGCTTTGCATTTGTTTCATGGGAGAGAATAAAAGTCTCCATTCATTTTGAATCTGAGTTCCTCATCATACATATCCCACTTAGCCAGATGGCCCTGCTTATGAATGAGGTAATATTCTTATTGTCATCCTTCTTTCCATCTTCAAGGACATTATTATTATATGGTCATAGTGATATTCCTTCCTTTAAGGAGTTCAGATCATTCACAATAGTTATTTGTCCTTGTGGAATGGGGATGTTTATTAGCTGTGCTGAGTAAATACAGTTAAGTATTTCAGAAACTAAATTACAGCTAATCTTGATACAGTAATTAAAACTAAGTAAGTAAAATATTAAAACTGCTTATCCACCATACTTAAAAACTGTGCTATTTTTTTCAGCTTTTTCTGGGAATGAGATTTCAGATTTTTCTCCCATTATTTTCTCATTTGAACATTTGCTTAAAATCAGTCTGGTTTTCTTTTATTCTCAAAAGTAAACATAACATAACCATATAGTCCAAAGCCTCTGTCTTTTTTCCTCGTGAAAGTTACAGTGTCAGGCACAAAATACCTGAATAGAATTTTTTAATTGTGAAAATAGTTGAAAGATGAATATAATTTATAGGTCATATTTGATAGATTAAGTGTTATGTACTATTTTAATTAAACTTTTGAAATTTAGTAAATATTTTTCAATACCTGATATGAGGTGAGCATTATAGAGGAATATAAATTTCAAACAAATACATATGTTGCAAAGCAACATATTGACAGATATAAAATTATTTCAGTAGTTACCAAGGTTTTAAATAGGTATTATCCTTTTAAAGTTCAGATTTCTTTCATATTTGCTTCATTTTGCTGGACAAAAAGATACATTTTTCATCTCATATATTCCAATAACGTAACAAGAAGACTTAATAGACTTTTTTTAAGAAATTCTGTTATATCCCACATATTACAGTATTTTTCTTAAATTGAAATAGCTTCAGGATTTAATGAAATGTTCCTCTGCTTGGTAGTTTTCTACAATCAGGTGAAAAATCAATTTGCTGATGTTTCAGAGTTTATTCAGACATTCATACATAGTAAGGCTATGCACCCTGAAGCTAAAATGTCTATTTCAACCATTGCAAGAAATTTTACATGAAAATGCCTCTTCTTTTTTTTCCCTCACCCTCCCACCAAATTAAGACCTAGTCTTGAGTACTAAACAAAACAAGTTCAGATAGTATTTTCCAAAGATTCATCCCTCAAATGACTCCATAACACATGATTAGACCTCTTGATTTTTCGTATTTGTTGTCACTTGATTTTGTGAGCCCACGGCCACCTTGTTAGTTCTTTTTGGCATTAACTCAAGTGGTTTTTTACCCTAGCCGTGTTTAATCAGTTTCTAATGTTCCTTTCAGTCCTTTACTGTTTTCTTATCATGTAAGCACGTTTGTATTTCTGGAGATAAGAAGTTAATATACATTTTTACAACCTGTTTCACCAGCTGTACATGTAGTATGCGTCGTGTGTCTGAATTGCTGTTCTTCACAGCCGTAATTTATTTTCATGCGACTTTCTTTCTTTTCACTAGCAAAGGACGATGTAAGCTGCAATTTTCCCTAGACATTTATTGAATCACTTAAAAAATAGACATTTTGATCACTTGCTATGTGCCCAGAATCATTCTTGTCTCAGAGTACACACTGGTAAACAACAACATAATATGCATGTCCAGAAAAAATAATAATAATGTACATGTCTGTGCCTGAGTATGGATCAGTTTATTTAAAAGTTTGTGATATTTTAATATAATATAGTCTTAGATTTTAATATGGTCTTGCCACTGAAATGAAATTATCTTTATTTAATGAACTATTTCCCAATATGAAAATGAATTAAATTCGTCTAATATTAACATATATAAGAAGAGCTTCCCAATACCAAAGCCACGTGTTGTCATCTGTGCAAAGAGCATGTACCCCAGACATTCTTATGTTTTAACTTACTCAGATCAGTATTGCTTTCCTGTGAGATACTTATAAGCTTTGAGAGTTTGTTGGATGCCCTTAGAAGTTTGTTTCCTTTGTACCAGAATAATCCTAAAATAGGGTTGTTTGCCTCAGGAATATAGATGGGCCAGGGTAGTAAGGCTAAGAGAGTCTTCTTTTTTTCCTTACCTCCTCTATCAGATGTGAACCTCTCATGTGTGCCTTGGTGAGCCAAGAGAATGTAAGGAATTAGTATAAGATGGCCTGTATGTCATAGAAATACAGACTGCATTCATCTTCTTGAATACTTTTTATCTATTACCTTTTTTCATTAGTAGATACTGGCAATAAAGGACAGATTTTTTTCCAGTTGAATGCAAAAATAATATTTTACCCTTAGAAGATTTATTTTTAGCACATTACATTTCTTCTAGCTTTTTGGTTAGTTATTTTCGTTACATGTAAGTTTCTAAATCATTTATTAATTTTCCCTAAAATGATTAATAAAGATAAAATTTCTAGCTCAATGACCTCTTAAGGCTTTCAGAAGTAATTTTGCTTCTTAAATCAAAGTTACAACCTTTACATCAATAATTTTCTCTTTGGAAACAACCTTGGAAAGTATTGATTCCATTCATATCTCTAAATTAAAAACACTGTTTTACAGAGCAGCCTCTCTTTTAAGCCTAGATAATTTACCAGATCTGTTTACAAAGCAAGCTCATCTTAACTCAGGAGAACAAAAATGTCATGCTGGACCCATATAGCCTGCTCTCCAGCAAGCTATCCAACCTCTGCCTCTAGTGAAAAGATAGGAGGGTGTTTTCTGGAAACATAGTTACTCTTCAAGAACTAAACCTTGAAAATTTCCCTAGGAGAAGGTGACTGGGCACCAAGTGGTGGTTCCCAAGTATTCAGAAGAAGTTATTTTATCTGAAGAACTAGCATTCTTGGTTTTAAAAGTGTTTTTCTGTAACTTTAGTATTAACATTTTTAATTTTTTTAAAAAAATACACCTGAACATTGAAGGGAAGAAGGCGTGTATTTTTCCTTGGTAAAAACAAATTTGTTCTTTTGGGTATCTAAATGGTGATAAGCTTGGGCTGCTTAAAGGTAAGCCAGTAATTCCCATATCCCTATGTTACTGTTTTTGTTAAAGGGAAAATAAGATCAGTAAGAGCAAACACATATCACAAGTCTATAAATACCAGAAAATGGCTTTAAGTGGTTTTAGATTTCAAAAGAAACGTTTTTAAAAAACACACCTAGTTAGAAGCTAGTTGTAGGCTCATTTGTCCTTTTCTTCAACTGTTTCTTGCTTTTTCTATCCTTGATGTTTTTGGTAGGTTTTTGCCGTATTTTGATTATATCATATAAGAAAATACTGAACTAAACTCTGAAAATCTTCTTGCATCTCTGAAAGTCCAGTTTTTGCTCACTTAACTATAGTAATAAAAGAGAGTAGTTTTATAAGGTGAATGGTCTTTTACAAATCAGCTATTTAAATAACTGGCAAGAGAATTACTAAGTTTAACTTTCTAAGGCTTAAAAGTATTTCATTAAGGATTCCGTTCTGATGTAAGAGAGTACCAGTACTTCATTTTTTCTGTATGCATGTTGTCTGATGTCACATGTAACTAGTGAATCCATTTTCATTACCTTATTACCTTTTTTTCTTCTTTCTGTTGTTTTTGGTAGCCGGGTTTCCCTTATTCATCCCCTCATCATCACTCCAGTCTGATCTCCTCTCCGATCAACTTTGAGCACGTCTATCACATGACTGTTAATTCTGCTGAAAAATTTCTCTCTCCTGATTCCATAAACCCTGAATATTCCCCGTCTCTACGTTCTGTCCCTGGTACACCAAGCTTTATGACTCTGAGGGTATGAACAGCTGAGTCAGGTGGTAACTTTTACTAACCACATACGGATTTCCTATTGCCTGGCTTAATGAGTAATTAAGTAACATCGCTGAGGTGGCGCCATTTTGTGAATGTTTTCCTTTGGCCTGTTTCTCTTCTGCCAGATTTCTACTCTTACTCTTCCTCCTCTCTTTATATTCCGCTTCCTCCTCCTCCTTCCTCAGGTGCTATT